TGGAGCTGTTTAAGGAAGTTAACACAGGGGTACAGGTAATATTGTGTTCCCAGGGCAGGATAAAGCCTACGTCCCCCTGGAAAACCAATGCTCTGCTCTAACTGGAGAAATTCAGGCTTTCTAGGGTAGGCCAGGAGCTGGTCTCAAGTTTCCTACTGTTCCTCCAAGCAGGAGCAAATGACATCACTGTTCTTACTGCCCCATCTTGAAATCTTTATGAGCATTTTCTTCCCAACCAAGATAAATCAGTGCCATTTAAAGGGTACCTCATTTCATCAAAAGGAAGCTGTTTGCTTAGACAATTAACCACTCTAAAATGCCCATGTCAGTTAACCCTTTGTCTTGCCTGAATAAATTCTGTATAGGATTGAAAAGGTGCTATTTGCAGAGTGTTTTCCAGTCTAGATGTACAGAATTCTGAAACTCTAGTAGATGTTTCCAACTCACTCATTCAGATGTGTTCAGTTGCACGTTAAGTCTGGCGCTGGCAGTGACAGTTGACTCCAGGTGGAGTATTTTTCCCTAGGAGGCACCTGGGGACTGTAGTCTGGCCTGCTGTGGGGCTCAGTAAATGGCAAATGCCACCATGCAGCATAAAAAAGGAGCCATAGGCCTGGATACTGATTAGATAGGAGGCAAGAAAGGGCCAAGGCCAAGGCCGTTTGCCCTCAAGTCAGGAGGTCTGAAGTGACAGGGGCACCAGAGACTCACGTCAACAGGGGCCGATTTGGGAGGGCGGGCAATGCTCTACTTGGGGCCTAATGAATGTAAGAGCTCAGGGAGTTGAGAGAAGCCTGGGAAGGACTGATGAAAGTACGGCTGCCATTATCCTTGTGTTGCTTTAAGACAGGGTTTCCCTTTGCAGCCACCCTCCTGCCTCAGCCTCCAGAGTGCTAGGATTCCAGGTGTACGCAGTCATGCCCAGCTTCCTTAGCACTTATTAGGGGACTATATGTGGTAGGGAGAAATTTAATAAAAAGGACCTAGAGTTAAAATGGTAAAATGGAACTAAAAATGCATTCCTTCCTCGCAAATCAGTAGTGGGTGAAGAAAAACATCACCCACATCACGGTCCCTACCCAGGATGGCAGGGTCTGCTGCACTGCCGCTGCTCATGGCAGTTGGCTGCTTTCCCTGGGCAGGGTAAGCCTCGGTTCTACAGATGCCTCGCCTGCTCTTTAGGCAGCCTGCACTGGCCGCCCTGAGCCCAGATCCCAGGAATGGAACATGAACTAGATGCCACTTCTGAGCTATCAGCGGGCAGAGTGAATTGAGCCACCAAGTGCAAGTGCAGGGCTCCTGCTAGAGTGGAAACCACACATTCAGTCCCAGCCTTACCTGGAAACTGTGGCTCCACCCCAAGACGTGAATTGTGGCCAACCTGCCCTGGGTCATGTAGGCCCTTTTGAAATACCTTGGCTCTGCTGCAGCGACATACCCTGGACATCGAGCAAGTATGTGTAATTGTTTTAACTTGGATCTTTAATGTCCCCCAAATGCCCATGTTAAAAACTTGGTCCTCACTGGGGCACTGCAGGAAGGCGGAGGAGCCTTCAGAGAGCAGGGGTGGGGGGAGTGTTTCTCCTCAGCCAGGTCACTGGAGGTTGTCCTCGCAGGGACAGAGCGCCCTCTGTCTCCCTGTTCTGCCCATCGCTGCTGCTGCTACACTATGCCCAGTGCGAAGCCTCACAAACCATGAGCTGAGATAAATCTTCTACGTCAGCTCCCTCAGGTATCTGTTACAGTGACAGTAACTGACACCATCCTTGGCTAAAGAGGCTCCCATCTTACTATGATAAAACTACTGCTACTGACTTTTGGGGTAAAGCATGCGTTAGATGAAGCAAAACGAGCACACCGTGCTGCTGTTTTAAGCCTAAATCTTCATCCTGAAGCAGCAGCTGTTTTGCTAGGACCCCCATGGGTCTGCGGGGCTCATTCTTTTGCGGCCATGTAACGTTTTCTGCGTTGGACCCAAGTCTGCTTTTCTTCTGCCTGTCTTGGAGTCCACCTGAGGCCTGTATGGGCTCCGACAGAAGGGTGCAGGCCTGGCCATCTTCCACACCCGAGCGCCGCTCAGCGAGTGAGCAGAAACACCGAAATCCCGGGTGTGCAGCCACCGATGCGGTGCCTCCTCTCCCCTCCCCTCTTTTGGAATCCACATGTGAGCCGCCCAAAGCCCATCGAACGCAGCCACAGGGACTATTTCTGGTGCTTGTTAGGTCTCGGGGGAGGAACCCTGGATCTCAGTGCCTGGACAGACAGCTGCCTCTCCCCTCCAGGACCCCCGGCCATTTACAGACCGACAGCATCACGGCGTAATGATTTCAGTCAGCTTCCAGGATGGCTGCAACAACGAACTCATCTCAAATGAGGAAAATAAACAGGAAACAAATGTTTCTATAGTCTCATTGGTTTTCCTCTATCACAAAAGCTGTTTGCCCAGCGGGATTTTTTCCCCAGATGATGAATCTTTCAAATACAAGCATCCCTCTATGGAGAAAATAGCTCCCATGACCACAGTCTCAAAGACGGTCCAGTGAGACCATCACTGAGAAGTGCCGTGGATTCAAGAACTGAGGCTGGAGAGGACAAAGATGTGGTTTGGTTCAGCATGCAAACTAAACAAATGCTTAGGGTCGGAACAGAGCATTTAAGTAGACAGGAAAAAAAAAAAAAAAAAAAGCTGGGGTAGGTAAGTTTCTGGAACCCGCTGGGAAAGGCCAGGGACCGAAGCACTGGCCTCCCGGGAGGCGGCGCAGCGCGAGGTAAGGGCGGCGCGGGCCTCCCGGCCTCCAGCCTCTTCCCTTCCACTTGCACCGAGTGACCAGCCTGTGCGAGACCACACCCTCAGCGCCACGTCCCTGGGAGGCCTGGTGCTGCTGCACGGCTGCCCCTGGCGGGTCCATCTCAAACCTCAGGCGCTGGGCTCCGCATTGGGACCGTAAACGAGGGCTTGGGGTCAAGATGAAGAGCTAAAGAGCCCCCAGCAGCGGAGTGACCAGGAGGTACCCAGGCGTGAGGAAGGCTGAGACGACTTGTTTCGTGTTTCTGTGGACAATAAAATAGAAAGGGGCTGGACATCAAAACAGAACTTAAATACCCTTAAAGGAGAGATTATGTATCTGGGTTCACAGACAAACAGATTTGCCAGGGAACTGTAGGGTGCTCTGCAAGGCCGTTCAAATCCAAACAGCACAACCTCCACAGAGTGGAGACAAAAGAGATAATGCTGCCAGGTACCACAGCATAAAACTATCATCTTGGGGCCGGGGATTTAGCTCAGTGGTTTCACCGCCTGCTGTGCAAGCGCAAGGACCCGAGTTCGATCCCTGGTACCAAACCCCCCCCCCAAAACCCCCTATCATCTCAGCACTTGGGAGGCCAAGGCAGGAGGATCCCTGGGGGTGAGACCAACCTGGGATACATGGTGAGTTCAAGGCCACCCTGAACTACAGTGACAACTCATCTTTAAAACAAAACACACCACCTTACTCTGCAGAGTTAGACATGGGGGCAGCTCAGATATGAGCAAGTGCAGAGGCCGGCCTCACCGGCACACTGCAGGACCCCTGGGGATGCAGTGGTGACCAGGAACCCGTGCTGGTGAGGGCAGGGTGGATCTCAGTGGCCATGGTTCCCCCAGGGGCCCCACGCAGACTTTCAAGATCAGCACTCCTCTCCACGTGATCATTGTTCATTTGCAGAAAGTGTTAGGCAAGCATACAGTCTTGAGTTCGATTCCCAGTACCCGTTCCCCAAAGTGTCAGGCAAAGAGCTGGAAAGACACAAGGAGCAACATGCAAGGACCTGGGATTTCCCATGTGCCTGCTGCTGGGATGCACAGGCCGTGTGACGGGGCTTTTCCACTCCCAAGAGCCTATAAGGGCCTAACTGTGAGTCTTCTGGACACAGCTTCAAAGAACAAAATTTCTTAGGTGGACTTAGAAAGAATACTGATGAGACCTTAAAAGGAACAAAATCCCCCAACCTCGTGTTATTTTAATCTCCCTCAGAGCACCACAAAGTTAGTCTTTATTAAAAGTGCACCAGGGTCGAGCACCCACACTTTGGAAAGGTGGCATGGGGGCTGCTGGAAGCTGTGTCCATTTGCCCCCCGCCCCAGTCTGCCTAATTTTATCAGCACAGAAATATGAAAAACCATGTGCAGTGAACCAGAGCCCCTGCGCAGGTGGAGCTGTGTGCACCCCCATGGCCCTCTGTGGACAGGAAAGGCTTGGGCACAACCTCTCTGCAGTCAGAAGGTCCTGGTCCTCCAGCCTTCATTCATGAAGTCAGCCATGAACAGCGCACGAGCTCTCTGGCTTCTGAACACCGGAACATGTGAGTCCCCTACAACTCAGGTAGCCAGATAAGAGCATTCCCCAAGGGAAACAATGCTCCTCAGGTTTTCCGCAGACTGTTCAACACTTTAACGTACCAGCACGAACCATCCATGGTATATGCATGACCATCCACTGGGCAGCTTGTACCACTGGATCTAATCACTTTTATTGGCCTTTTCACCAACAGAATTAATAAGCCACCTGATGGGACAGTCATGCATGGACCTGGCAGCGACATGCACCCCAGCCCTGTCCTGAGCGTTTTAAAAGATTAGTGGGCATCTTAGGATTCCAAAGCAGGAGGTTGTATGTACCTTGGAGGCAAATACCGCCCCCCCCACAGTTTAGACAAACACGGTGGGTATCCTCTAGGATCAGACTGGGGGCAGAATAAAAGAGCACCAGGTGCCCTACGGTGCCAAATAAACCACACACACACACCCACCCAGGAAGGACTTCCTGTTCTCATGGCCAGGGCTGCCTCCCAGTCTCCACTGAGAAAAATCCCCGACCTGCAAATTAAGACCACCACCAAATATAAGTCAGAAAGAATAGTAAGGAAATTCTTGCAACATATATACAGACTCTCATTTACCCACTTATAGCAATGATTACACAACCAGTGTTCCTAAGGGTTTGTTCTGTACACCAGAATGTTTGTAGGGAAGTATGACCCAATTTTGGTTTTTATTTTATACTTTCAAAAGTGATAAAGGAAACAGAGAAAAAGTGTGACTAACTGCCCAACTTCGGGGGTGAGGAGGTACAAAATCAGACTTCGGGAATTCAAGGTCCATCTATGTTTCTTGGGAAAGACTAGGGGAGCCCATTAACCCCACTCCCACCCCTACAAACCCCACAGCTCAGCTACACGGCGCTCAGCTAAAGCCTATGCTTGGACTACAGAGGGCCTCCAGCGAACATCTAAACTGTGAACTGCGGCATTAGGCAGCAGCTGAGCTCCAAGAGCTCATCACAGAGGGACATCCCCAAGTACTGCTCGAGGTCTGTGAGGCAGCCGCTGGTCCAGCCACCCCTGGGCTTAGGCTGACACGTAGGGTGGAGGTGGCTCCTTGGCAGCGCCAGTCACAGTGGCATCATCGTATGGGGGCAACAGCACCTGAGAAGGAAAGAAGACACAGTCTTTAAAGGTGGGCACACACTGCCCGGAGGTTCAACAGGAACTGCACTTCTTCTTTTGGTATCAGGAATCGAACTCGGGACCTTTCACTTTCCAGGCAGGCAGCAGAACCACTGAGCTAAATCCCTGGCCCTTGGAACTGCACTTTCATTCCAGAGAATGTTTCCCATAATCGGTACCACGTTCGATGTTGCACTACATGGATACATTTGTGCTCCTGCCACTTTCTCCAGGGGCCTGCATGGCAGAGGGCTATGTGTGTAGGAGTAAGGAGAGAAGGCTGCTCAGTGACTGTGCACACGCGTGCACACCCACGGGCCAGGTCCTCAATCACCTAAGGCGCCACTTGTGGAGAGGCCTGTGTGATGTGCAACAGGAACTGAATGAAGGGCTGGGAGTCCACCCGGTCCAAAGCCGGGCTCGGCTACATTTGAGCAGCACAGTCTTGGGTAAATACTCCAGGAGGTCTGAAGGCCTGAAGCCAAGGGGTTTATTACCCATCAGTGGTGGGACAGGAGCAAACACGGGGCACCGCGCTGATCCATAACCTCTGTGTTTACATCTCAAGTACAAAGAAATCACTTGCAGTTGCTTATGAACTGTTGCAGGCTGATGCTGGCTTTCTTGGAGTGCAAAAGAAAACAGATTTAGCAACACAACAGGATCAACCTGTACCATCAACTAACATTTATTACACAGCTGCCTTATGACTGGAATCACAGAGAAGAGAGATAAATGCCTCTGCCACTTAAGCATTCTGAGGGACAAGATCAAATGAAACCTTACCTACTTCAGATGCTGTGTGGAAAGAGAACGTTAACTGACAAAACCATACTTTATCATGTTTTCCATTATGAACATCATTTAGACTTCAAGTTGGAGTATATCAACTCTGTAAATTTTCACTTACTGTCTGTCCTTCGGCTCCTAGAGTAGCAACACTGAAATCCTCCATCAACACCTCACTCCTAACCCCACACACAGCACCCTGGGATTTGTCTCAGCACCCTTTACTACCTGTCTGTGTCTCTTCTTCCAGTCTTGGAGCGATGCTACGACTGAAGCCATCTTACTTCACGGAGGGAGGCCTAGTGCCTAACAATGGTAGAGGCTCGGAAGGTGTGAACAAGTAGGGCATCACTGAGGCTGGCCCCGAAAAACCCTACCAAGCATGGCGGTGCATGTCTGTGATTCCAGCTACCTGGAGTCTGAGGCAGGAGGATTTGAGCCCAGCCCGAGCAACCTAGCAAGATCTACAAACTTGAATTAAAACAATTTAATACCTCAGAGGTAGAGCACTTGCCTAGCAGGTGCGAGGCCCTGGGTTTCCTCCTCAGTATCTCAAAAAACAAGCAAAGAACAACCACCGCCACCACCACCCTGTTTGGTCCAGTCAGTGGGGAGGAGAACTGAACCAACTAGAAGTCAAAAGTCATATAGTAATTTGAGTGAAGAAAGTTTAACAATTATCAACAGGGTATTAGAGAATGGAGAGCTGTTAAGAGGATATGGCTGGAACCTGCTGGACCACAGACAAGCTTCCCAGGCAGAACTGGCCAGAGCCTCAAAGTTGGCAGCTCGAGGCCAGTGTGTCCTGAACACCACAGGCTGGGCTGGCTGCTGCCAGGTGTCCATCTCAGAGGGCCACTGGCTCCGGAAACTGCCGGGGAAGCCTGGCAGAGGAAGTGTCACTGCTGCTGTCCCCACTCCCAACCAGGCCTGGGGACCCTGACAACAGGACCTAGACCCTGAGCCCAGTGTGGTGGCGCAGTCTGTAATCCCAGCACTCTGGGAGGCTGGGGCAGGAGGATTGCAAGCTTGAGCCCAGCCCAGCCTGTGCAAACTGGCAAGTGCTGCCTCAAGATGAAAAAAACTTGGGGCTGGGGATTTGGCTGAGTGGCACCCGTGCCTGCCTGGCAAGGGCAAGGTCCTGAGATCGATCCCATCCCTGTGAAGAAGGAAGGGGGGGAGGGAAGGGGGGAGGGGGGAGGGAGGGAGGAAGGAAGGAATGAACTTAAGGGCAGGGAAATAGCTCAGTGCAGAGGCCCAGAGTTCAATCCCCAGTACCAGAAAAAAAGTTAAGAGGTGATTCCACCTGAGTATAAATCCTCAAGTCATTAAAACTTGAAGGGAAACCAATTCTCTTCATCTAATGTTAAGAAAGGATGAAATGCTCAAAGGAAAAGAATTACAGCCATGCCACGCTGCACTCACAACAGAGATGTGTTCCGAGACACATCACTGTGTGGTCTCGTCCCTGATGAGCACTAGGAGTGCAAACCCACAGAAGCTCGATGGCCACATCAACATGGGCAGCCTGGCCAAGGGGCCTACCATTGTACACGCGGTTCACTGCAGACTGAAACACTTACACAGCTCACGACTGCACACTGTTTACCGGTAAAAGCAGAGAATATCACCAGGCATGGTGGTGAATGCCTGTAACCCTCAGGAGGCTGGGGCAGGAGGATCAATGTGAATTCGAGGCCAGCCTGGGCTACACAGTGAGACCCTGTCTCAAAAAAACCCAAGAGAGGGCCGAGGATTTAGCTCAGTGGTTCCAGCGGCTGCCTCGCAAGCGCAAGGTCCTGAGTTCAATCCTCGGTACCAAAAAAAAAAAAGAAAAAAGAAAAAGAAAGTAGGAAATGTTTAGGTGGTAGGGTTAGAACTGGACTTTTACAATAATATTTTAGCCACTAAAGGCTAATTTAGAATTCTGTTGCTAGGATTATATCCCCAAAGGTATTATTTATAAATTACACAGCTGTCTTGAGATATTCACAAAGATGTATGCAAGATGTTAAAAGATATGCTGGGGGCTAGGGTTTTAGCTCAGAGGTGCCACCTGCCTCCCAAGCACATGGTCCCGAGTTTGATCCCCAGTACCAAAAAAATAAAAAATACAAGATATGCTGATGCTACTTGCTGGTTCTTGGGGACCCACAAATGGACTGCAAGGACCCTTTTGGTCCCTGGAAACTGCAGGCCAGTCTCGGAAGGTGCTCTGACCTCTCTCCAGACAAGGGGTGAACTGACTTCGAGTTCCGCAGGGCCCCAGAGCACAAGCCCCATGCACTACAGACACTCAACGAGGCAGCAGGGAAAAGGTTGTTGAAAGGTTCTGAACCTCCACACGACTAGAGAGCTAGAGATGCCGTTCAGGGCCCCCAGGAAACAAGTGTGTGCCAGGGCACAGGAGCGAGTCCCTTATCCAACATAACATGCTTCATGCCCCTTATGCAGCCCAGTATCTGGCTCAAGCTTGCCGATTTCCATGCTCCCTTGCAAAGCATGCTCTACTCTACACAAAGCTCAGCCTCCTTACGTGTAAGGCAGGCCCATGACAGCTCCCGCTCAGGGGCTGCAGGCCTGGGGCGAGTTCGCATCCAAGGCAGCCAGCACAGGTCTGGTGGGTGAGGCTGAGCCTGCAGTGGCAGTTTTGTCTGTATCTTTGGGGCTCTGCACCCACACAGCTCTACTCCTTCCCAAAGACACTGACAACAGAGCAGTTGATTCAAATCCATTCACATGGCTTAGGAAAGTTCTTTCTCCTCTCTCAGCTCTTACGGCTACACACACTGAAGCAAGCAGGCAGCTGGGCAACAACTCCGAAGGATTTGGAGACCACGGCTTCTGGCGATGGGAGAAGCATGGACTCCATGCATGGCCAGCCTCATGCGGTGCAGCCACCCAGCTGATACCCTGAGTCTCCCAAAGGCCAGTGGCTTCAGGATGTTGGCTCCATCACCACAGGCCCCATGCCTGCGCCATCTGCTGGACTGAGGTCCTGCAAGGTTAGAGCCGCACGCTGGGGAGTGCCGACCAGCCAAGGCCAGGGCCACTGCAGGGTGAGGGAAGGCAAATGCAGCCCTGGCAGGCATGACACACCCTCTCTCCAGTGCCTTCACGTTCCGGCTGAGTACTGGGAACTGGTTTCTTTCCCTCGGGAGCAAGGCACTGAATTTGTCTCCCTACAACTTGGATTTCCCAGCCCACCATCCCCGCCCCTCCCTCCTGCTCTGCCAAATCTCAACCAAAGTAACTCAGCAAGAAGGGAGACAAACTGCACTCAGACTTTCCTGCAGCTGCCGGTCTGCAAGAGGAGCGAACACGGCTTTGTTCACACCGGCACCTGAGTGCTGACAGGCCAGGTGACCAGCGGAGGGCTGAGTATACTCTGGCCCCTGGAGGAGGAGCCACCACAGGAGGAAACCGCGCCTGTCCCCAGTGGTCCTAAGACCCAGGAGCCTGCAAAGGCGCAGGCAGTAACTACATGGGGGGGGATCAGAAGAGAGGGCTGGGACCCCAGAAAGGCTTCTGCTGGCTTTGGCGGCAGCAAAGGAAAGTGGAGCCTCCTATAAATCCAGTCGTCTTGCCTGAGGGCCAACTCAGGCTTTTGTTTTGGGAAATCTCCCCAAAAATGTGGAAAAGTGAGAAAATATCACGATAAATGGGGGCTTGGGGATTTGGTCCGTAGCCCCAGCCACTGATGACAACACAGCAGGAAGAGCCCCTCACAGCTGCTTCACAAGAAGGCAGCGATGTGCAGAATGAAGCTGCAACTCCACTCCCCTGACAGGACGCAGGTGACCAGGTTGGCCTTACTGGAGGGACAGTCCAGAATCTGCTCCCATCTATGGAAAGAGCAGCAAACTCAGATTTGAAATGCAACCCCACAAGTTACAAATAACGGCCACGCGCCAAGCAGAATGATCCAAGGTGGACAAATGCTGCGCTGACAAGTGGCCGAACCCCAAGGCTTCTACACAGAGGTGCAAGGGGCGGGGACGAGGGACGGGACGCCTGTCTCCAATACCTTCACAGCAGTTCACACCAGTTTCGGACTCCTGACTCTCCAGTGCCTGACTTCACATCCAGCTCCACCCTGGTGGTGGCTCCCAGGCTACCCACACTTCTGTCTGCCTTGGCTACAAATTGGGGGTTCCCATGACACCTGCTCCACAGGTTCATTCGGTTGC